TTTAAAAATTAAGTATTGCCGTGGCATCAGCGTTATTTAAGCAGAAAAAACGGAAACAACGTACACTTATTCTTAGACAATCATCCTTGTCATGGACATTTTATTTTACTGAGGTTTTTTTCCCATTGCAATGAATCTGCACTTGTGGTCTAAAACGAATATTACAACAATACTGGACTGTTGTACTAAGTGTAACTCGCGTTAATCTAATCCGCCTGAGTAAATCTGAAATCATCGAACAACGGACAATCTCTTAGACAGCAACCGCGAAACGGAAGTCTGAGCTAAAAAATCTTTTTCAGGAACAAATTGTTTCCTTCGGATTCGTCTGCATTGTGATGAATAAGACCTGTTGTCCAGAACTAACATTAAAACACCACTGGACTGTCAATGATAACTTTAACTCGCACTAATCCAACGCGTTTGAGTAAACCTGAAATCGTCAGACTAAGATAGTGACCTCGAAGTTGATACTCCGAACGAACGTTTCATATACAAACAGCGTTGAACAATGTCTAACATGAAGAATTAAATCAAGTGATTTACAAATATCACTATAAGCAATAATATACATTTCGACTAATGATCAGATGACTGCGCGCAGACACAGCGATCTTGCATAATCGCCACGATGACATCACAAAGTAAAACAGAAATTATCCACAGTCACACTTTGATAGCGGCGTCGCATTTTCCTCAGAGAGAGTATTCCATTGACACATTTAGAATTCCTTAAGGTGATACCAAGGACTTAATGTCGTCGCCAGCCGTGATCAGGGGAAGTGCTTTACCGTATACCGTTACAGAATAATCTCCGGCAGTCTGATCCTATGTTATTTCGCTCAACCAATCAGATGGAGTCATAAACATTTCCCAGAATTTAACTCAAATTACCTACGTTAAAGAAAACTGGTGATGTGATCAAGTATGGAACGCATCTGAAGGTGATTAGCTACGAACAACACAGGATTGTGAGCACTGATTTTATTACTTTCTAACTGGTACCCAGGTATACGTTCTAACTGGTCAGGTAAGTCTTTATTGGGCTGAACAGCAAAAGAATGAATAGGTCTCCTTGCTTTATCTTATCGCACAGA